AATTAACAAAACTTTTTCTCTCAGTGTATTCGTTCAAATAATTCTTTAAAAGAATAAGCAAATTCTCATTTTCGTATATTGAAAACACAAAAGAATGTGCTCTCCCTCTTTCTCTCTCGATGAATCTCGAGAACTTCTTGTTACGATGTGTTTTTATCGTTCCAGTCGGGAAAAAAAACTTTTGCGTCCAAAATGCATCAATACGGAATCAATGGAATTTAACGGGAAAACACAGGTTTGACGATCGAGTCGTATTGAGCGTACATATATGCGAAAGAAAAGGAAAAACGATCGGTCAGTCGCCGGTCCCGACGTAGGCGTTTCCCTTTATAGGACGAATTAAGTCGGGTTTACGAGCCATGTGTCAAGATCCCTCTTTACGACCGAGTGACTCCCGTAAACCTAACGGCCAAATGATTCCGCGAGATATTGTACTCGTAACCACGCCTCTTTTTAGCGCTACCAAACGTCACCCGGAAATCAATACTATCGCGCACATTATTTCTTTTTTTATACTATCGTCCAAAGGTCGTCTTTTTATCCGACGTTGCTCCTTCAAATATGCTGAATATCTCAGAAGACAGGAGAAAACATTTTCACGTTGAATTTCTACTTGGTATTTAAGAAGAAATGCAAAATATTCCGATCAAAATTAAGTAAGCCATGTGTAGAGTTACTCTAAGCAGAGTTTGGTCAAAAGAGAGCAATTTTTAATTAATCCGCTATGTTTTATTGAATCCCACACAATATCCAATCATAGTAGGTTAAGTTATGTTAAGGAGAAATAGATAAAGAGAGAGACTGAAAACATGTCCTTCTCTCTCGCAGGTAGACAAAGAGAGAAATTGAAAATATATCCTTCTTTCTCAGGATTTTATAAAACCGCAGCCAAATTCTACTTAGAGTAACTTTAGTCATGTGGACACTTTACATCCCGTAAATAAATTTTCAAATACATTTTTCTCAATGTATAATATATAATTTAATTAGAATTTACTACTTATATGAAATAGTTCCGTTTCTTTTACAAAATTCATCGTTTTAATCATTTATCATTAATTCTCTTTCGCATCAGAGAACATACGTAGGGAAATACGTGTCTTCCCTTACATCGAGCCACTCTACAACATTCGCGGAGCTCATTAAGGTCGGAAAGAGGGCATTTGTAAACGTTCCTCGAGAGAAGAGAAGATTCCTTACGTTCCCCTCCGCTCGAGAATAAGAAAGAGGTGTCCCAGGGAAAAAAAGCGCCGTTAAGAAAGGGTCATGGTTGAAATTCTCCTAACGCGGTCGGTCGGGGAGGGCAAAGTCTGCGCGATGATCAGCAGCAGAAATCGCGGAGCGGAGAAGAACAGTGTGCGATCGTCGGCTGCTCTCGAAGAAAATGTAACGCGATAACGCGTCTACTCGCTACGGCTCATAAAGCTGCTCAGTTTATGCTGATGGTCCGCGTCTCGCCGACATTTTTGCGAAAAAAAACGGAAGGGCGAGGGGGCAAACGAATAGGTGCAGGCGCCGAGGTGTGTGTGGGTGGACAGAGACGAGAAGAAGTCGCGAAAATAGTCGGGTCCCAGCCGATCCCGATCCTACCGAAATGATTTTGGGCTCGCGGCCAAGCGCAAGCGGCAGGTATTATCCCGTGCGAGATTGTTCGTCCCTACAAATGAATCCCGTTCGGCCTTTCAGATAGATAGGCAGGCAGGCAGGCAGGCGACCTATAGCTACTGTGTGCGCCTCTTCGCCTCGCTCCCGATCGGGAGAGAAGCACGGCCCTACGTGCTGTTGGACGACTAGAGTTCGGATGGCGGCGAGCTTGCAATTTTTAAGTGGTCGCTCCTGCCGTCGCAAAAATCGCGGACGATGGCCTCGCGCGAGATGCCGCACGATGCACGGCACGAAGTGCTTAGAGAGGCCTTTGTGAATTGAAAACGGGGACGCGCCATCGCCGCGACGCATCGCGCTGATGATCGCGCAAGGCGTGTCAATTTTGGGCAAAAAATCGATGAATTTTCCAAAATTTCGAAACGAAAAGTTGCGAAATGAACTTCGAGAGGAGCGCGGTCCGGTATGATTCTACAATATAATAATCTTGCTCTGCAATTGTAACGCGGCGGCGGAATATGCGAAAATAAATCGGCCGCCGTCTAGCGAGCGCTGTTCGTTTTATTTGGCGACTTTTACTACACTGTAAAAGATACACTCGGTCAGCGCTCGTCGGGCGACTTGGTAGCGGTGTGTACGTACAGAAATCGAAATACAAAAGGCGCGTGCCGGTAGCGCCAGATAGGAAGCAACTAAGAGGATTAGTAGCCAAATGGCCGGAGTCGTGGCGGCAAACCGAAATAAATATAGCACCGGCGAGGGTACCGCGGGTTAAATGTGTAATTGTGCGACTAAGTACCGCGTAATTACCAATGACGCAGGAAAGAAAGAGACACCCGAACACCGGCTTTTTGGCGCTTTCTCAGCGCCCGAGACTGACGTCTCGGAGAGGATCTTTTCGATCTCTCGATATATCTCGTCGGAAACTCGCGCGCGGAAATTTGGCTGCCTAAGTCGCAAGAAACGACGGAAAGGGATACAAAATATGAAGCGGAGCCGTTAAAAGTTGAAGACGCGTTAGCGCCAAACTGTTTCGACGTAATGGCCAAAGTTCTCCCGCCCGCCCCCGCCCGCTCGTCGTACCCTTTATTATTTTATATTTCGCGGCATCGCGCCGCGCCAGTTGGAGATAGCGGAAATTATACCTACGTTTAAAAGTGAAACAACTGTTAGAGACGTCGCGAAACTTTAATACTGCGGCGATACCGGCCGATTTCATCTTCGCGAGTATCCAGACCTCCGCCACCGAGTCTAATTCGCCGTCGGGTCTGTGTCCGACTTGGGCCACGCAAGCGTTTAAACGCCGGTGTGAAATAAAAACGATGGAGAATATCTCTTTCGGGCAGCTTTAGAAAGTGGAACGACGGGGAACGACGACGTGCGCTAAGTGACGGGACCTAATTTCTCGCTGCTTCTGTACTCTCACCGTCGCGTCCGATTCACTAAGGGGATAGGGGCGAGGGGTTGGAACTTCATTTTCCGTCGCGTAGAAGATCTGAACACATTCACCCCGTGAAGAGAAGTGCTCTCTTCGAACGCTCGAGCGAGAAATAACGATGCTTCATACGTTATTCACCTCTCATTATTCCGAAAATATAAAATCGCATCCGTAGATTATACGTGTCGGGCTTCCTCTCGGCGCGAATACTCTGAGAGCCGGGATTTATCGACGCAGCGTTGTGAACGCGCGACGAGGCGAGCACGAGGAGCTCGCGATATCGGACGTGGCAATGGGGAGATGATGATGGCGGCGCCATATTATAGCGGAAGTGTTTCTTCGTATGCGTCGTCTGTACACCTTGCGATATATCGCGGATTAGCGGACCCGACCGGACGTTTCCATCAGCACGTTCCCCTGTCGTGGCCGACTTGTTACAAGCACGTACGAGCGCGTTTCCTCGAGCGTCCGGCAAACACGCACGGATGCGCGCAGCACGTAGCGCGCAATCCGCCCGGTACACGCACGTATGACCGTATATAATATAGTAGATCCGCAGCGTCCGTAATGTAATCATGAGTGACACAATTAATCACTGGACCATCCAACCCCGCCAGGCCATTAGCGATTGCGACACACTCAGGCTCTCGTTGATAGGCGGATGCGTTTCGCATGCTCGCACACAAAGTCGCGCGCTCACGTACGCACGCACGCACGCACGTTCGCACGCACGGGGGTGAAAAGGATCGCAATGTGCACACCTGAACGAGAGAGAGAGAGAGAGAGAGAGAGAGAGAGAGAGAGAGAGAGAGAATATGAGAGGGAGAGGTAGAGCCCCTAACACTCCTCGTTCATGATCGACGCTCGTTAGGATCTTTTCCCCGATTTTCCGCGCAGCTCATGCGCGTGATTAATTGGTGCCATTGTGTATCGGTAGATTATTATACGGTGTAGTGGTGTCTCATCGATCCGCCGGCGACTGATTGGTTCCGGTGTCGCGAAATCTATTTCATAGACGCGTCCCTAACTACGAGCTCGATACACTAACGAAGCGCAACTCCGATTGCGCGACCGGCATAAATGCAACCTGCTCACTTCAGTCATGAGTCATTCAGAAAAGATTTGCAAGAGAGAGTAATGCGCTTATTAATCTTAAAACGGAAATTTAAGAAAAAACATCATATGAGGAAAAAGACATGTGGTTTCCATGTAAAAAAAAAAAAATATATATATATATAAAATTCTTTCTTCGTTTCTCAAAGTTTCTTAGCTCGTTGAAAACAAATTCCTCTCGAACTTTTACAGTTTCTATCGTCCACTTTAAATCCATCGAATTTCATCACGCGTAACTCGGATGCGTAAAAGCGATGCTCGAATATTCGACGTCATGTAGTTATATTTTTTGTGAAAATAGAAGCGTGAAACCAGCGAGAGAAATATGCAATTCGCACTTGCCCGAAAAATAAAAAAAAATATCCAATTGTATATATTTAACCATTAAACGATCCAATACAAAAATTTCAATTTATCGCGTAAATGCTATCATGATCACTTCACGTTCACAGGCCACGGCAATTCGTAAGAATTAACGTAATTGAATAGCGTCAAAGTGAACTTCAAAATATTTGAATAAATGCGCTGTATTATTATTAGAATTTAATAATGAATCAAATTGATTTTAACACATTCGCTACCAACGACATATATGTACGCGAGAATGACGATTTTCTTTGTATACCCGCGTATAGACAAACCCCAAGTTTGTTTCACACAATTACATGAAAACAATTATAATGCGGTCTATGGAGAGAATTCCCCGAATAAACCGTGGCAGCGCGAGCGTGTTAATAATGGTATTATTGCGTCGAAACTGAGAGAGGAGATTCTCCACGAGGAAAACGTTTTCCTTTCTAAAACCTACTGTGTTTCATCATTACTTGAAACTGATCACAAACGCATGTCTTGTAAGGAAGTACTCTTTATTCTTTAATAAAATATATAGTTTTCTGTACTCGCCGAATGAAATTCTGCGATGTTCTGAAATCTCCGCTTACTCTCTATCGATCTTCAGTCTGTCGATCTTCAGTGTCGAGAACGCGTCTATCCACCGTGCAACGTCGAAATAAAGAGCACTCTGTCCCGCGGGCACAGCTTATAATCGCCTTCGCCCTGAAAAATTACATTTCATATATCTCAGATTAATTAAACGTATGATACATTTAGGTATTCTGTCGTCACACATGAGAAACTCTTTTTTTACAAAAGATTTTGTAAAATTTTTAGTATTCCAATAACTGATATATCAATTTGAAGCTTAGAACAAGTAGATTAAAAATATAAAATCTCAATATTATTCTCGTTGTCTGGGAGATAACCGGTTCAAAAGGTTGCAATTTCAACAAATAGCCACACTATTAAGGTTGCAACCGTTTAAGCTTAAAATCAGCCATTAATCAACTATTAATTGGCATATACAAAGTTCTTGAAAAAAGAGCGAAATGTGCGTGCTCTTTGAAAATCGATCTCTCGACACAAATTCAGTCGAGTGTCGTTCCTTCGCGCGGTCTTACGCACACGCGCAACTTCCTACCGAGTGAAGACTGACTTTGCCTTCACGGAAACCTCATCCTCAATTTCGCACGTCCCAAGCGTTCATGCCTTCCAACATCTCCCGCTATCGATAGCAAGCGTATCCATTACATCGACATGCAACGAACGAAAACTTGAGCGTACGGCGGAGAAGCTCTGGCGAGAACGCTCGTGAAAGCGCGACTATGTATGCAGGGAGAAAAAGACGCGGGTAGAGAGCAAGAAGCAACGAAAGGGGAGGCGGATATGACATATATATGTATATGTATATACATAAGAAGAAGAGGGCCGAGCGAAAAGGCACGGAAACGCAAAAGGCGAAGCTTGCGGAGAGGCTTCGCGGAGCGCCGGTATTATCATAATAATGGCCAGAGCCATCATCTTTCCTACCCCGCCCGGCGTCCCGACGCACCCCCGGCGTTCCAGCGTCTTCCCGCTCGAGCGCTACCCCGAGAAGACCGCGTCTCCTCCTAATAGCCGCGGCGTGTACATTTACAAATTTAAAATGATAATTCTCTCCGTGGGTGTGGCAAACCGAGGTCATTTGCGCCCTTTCAGCGTCCGGAATCGCTCCGTTATCCTGCACCCTAGCGCGTAAGCGTAAGCGACGGCGACGACAGTGGTGGTGGTGCTGGTGGTCGACGGGCCGATTATGCCGTTTGTAAAAACCGGTCACAGGGTGTCCCGACGCCGGGCGTTTGTCAGACGCCAGGAACAGCCGCGAGCGTCACCTACGCGTGAGGGAGAGGAAGGTGGGGAGGAATGAAAGAGAGGTAGAGCGGCTAAAGAAATACTGACAAAGCGCAACGAGTGGTATCGTCGGTCTATGTGCCGTGTGTCTGAAATTAATATTTTAAATCGCCGCTCTCTCTCTCTCTCTCTCTCTCTCTCTCTCTCTCTCTCTCTCTCTCTCTCTC